AACTTTAAGACACAGTCAAAGATCGTTGCAAAAAACTTAACACAACAGTCAAAGGACATTGTGAAAAAGATGAAGACAACATTCAATGAATGTTGCAAAAAACCTTAACACAACATTCAGATGACATTACAAAAAACCTTAATGCAACACTCAACGATCGTTGTAGAACACATAAAAACAACGTTTAAAGAATGTTGTGAAAACTTCAACACAAAATTCATCGAACGTTACGAAAAACCTTAAGACAACATGCATTAAACGTTGCCAAAAATCTTAAAACAACACACATTGAACGTTGCCAAAACCTTCCACTCTACGGTAATGTCAAAGCCCGCAACATACGCCCGATCGCTGCAAAAGGTCTATGGCAACTTTTTCAACCGTTGTGAAAGGCAGTTTTTGGTGTAGTGGTGCAATGATAGATAGTGGTTTATTTCTTGCAACTATGATCCCGTAGGCAATATTATTGGCCAACACCCTTGCTAAGGCTATTCTTGGTACGTTGAGTGAAAAAAGTTGGACAAGAGTACCATATACCCAGATTATTCTTAAATAAATGCAACGTTTGGTTAGAAAAAAAATATTGTCAATGAGATTTCTGTTGAATTCTTTCGGTGCCTGAAGTTAGCGAATTCCTCTATAATTAATCCGATGTCTCTATCCTTAACCAGTCCTTGCTCGGTACAATTTGAACCAACCATTCTTAATTTCATTTTATTTTTAGCAATCTCCTCGAACCTTTTTCATGTATAAATATTAAAGGAAGAAAGTGCATATCCATATTTCACTTTCATATCTAAATGTTAATGCCCATAATGTAGCCCATAAACAAGTCGGCATGGCCCTCCTCGAGTGGAATGTTGTTGATTTTATATCCCGCAAGTGTATGGATCATAATAAGTAATAAAATGACCTAAGAGTTCAGATATCATTCTTACAATGACTACTATTTAACAATTAGTTCAATTATTCCTAACTTTAATTTGATCGAAAACAAACAAAGAATTAGGTGTTGCGATTTTTAAAATAACTATTTCAAAATACGCACACAAAGATTGATTTAAAATTTAAATAATGGAGGGATATTAAACCAAAACAATTTCACCTATCGATCATCTTTAAGTCTCATTTCAAGATTCAAAAGTCTAATGTAGTGTTCGGTCGAATTTTTCTATTGTATTTAATTTATCCTCTCGAATTATTATTGAACCTATTTAACTAATTTAATCACATATCTCCATGCGAATTGATTTTAGTTAAAAAAAATCCTAAACTCACCTCTCGATTATGACTGCAATAATTAGTATAGGTATCTCTACACATTATACTAATTTACCGAATTGTACTATATGTTACAAATCCTAAACTCATCTCTCGATTCGTAAAAGGTTCATCTTGTATCAAGTTCATCTTCTCGTTCCAAATCTTGATTTCAAATCCCTGAATTGTTGTTTTTCTCCTCTTAAATTTGCTCTCTAATTCTCAAGTTGTGTTCTTTATCTCTCAATTTGTGGAATCCTTTCAAAAGTGTGGAAACTTGTATTTGTAATTGCCTCTTCGTTTGTTTTGAAAGTAGGGTTTTTATGAATTTTAAAAAAGGGCAATAAAATGCACCTTAGATGCAACCAGGCGGCACCTCGATGCCATAAGAGTGGTGCCACGGTACCACAGCTCTGTTTTGGTGGCGCCTTTCGAGTGAAAATCAGACTATACTTTCTTTAGTATTTTTATCATTACTTTCTCTTTCAATATTCGGTTGAGGTGATTCAAATTGGGTTGTAAAGATAATTCAAAGGACTATAACTTTACTTGAAGTAGCCTATTTTAAATTTGAGTGTTTACTAGATCAAAAATGGGTTTTAATCTTGAGTTAAAAATCTGGAACATACTTATATGGATGAAAATTAATACCATCTCCATATTTTGATCATATTTCACTCACTTTTACTTTTAATTGCATCCAATTGACAATGATCATTCTTGAATCTTCATTGTCAGGTCTGATACAACTTTTACTTATTTACTCTTTAGTCCCCAAACTTTGGATCCTGTCCATTTTCATTGATTTTTCGCTTCTTTCTTTTAATTCCACTTTCATTCATCTAGTCTCACCTAATAACACATTATATAATAAATTATGCTATAATTTCATTAAAAGAACTATGAAATGTCCATATTTTAAAGCTTGAATAAGTGTATAAAATACACTTATCATGGAACAACACCGTTGCAGCCTACGTGCAGAAATATGCTACCAAGCAGTCTGCAGATTGTGCAATGGTGCATTTTGAGGGACCCTACGGTGAAAACATTGCAGCAGGCTAATGGAATCTAAGTGCAAAGAAAGCTATGGATATATAGACCAGGGAGAAGAAGTTTTATAAGGCGAAGTCAAACATTCGTGACGGAGGGGAATGCTTGCATTACACACAGGTTGTTTGAGCGAACATAAAACAAGTTGGCTAGGCTAGGGCTAAATGCAAAAATGGATGGACATTTGTTACATGCAATTATGATATTCTAGGCAATTACATTAGCGAACGTCCTTATTAGGCTCATGTAATATGTTTGTTCGAGCTTAAAAATGACTTTTTAGCTGTTATTCAATAACTTATATGACGTTATGTTATGGGCTTTTTATTTTCTTGCCGAGGTTAATTTTGTAGTAGAAGAAAAATGAAATCTTCAATCTTTCATGCAAGTAAGCACGATCTGTTTGCTTATTGCATAACTTGAGGTTTGAATATACATATATTTCTTCTGTATTTTATTTTTTTCCTTTTAGGTAAAATCCTTATTTTATACTTATTGATCTTAGTCTTTCATCTTTGACATATATGCGTGAGTCCTACAACTGTGATTTTACCTTGACAGAATAAGTTAAAACATGAATGGATAAACTAAAATTAACTTTAACATGAAGTGTAATAGTTGTTGAGTATTAGTGGTAGTAAATCTCCAATAATTTAACAATCAACATAGTTGAGAAAAATGATTCTTACATGTAGTCTATCTATAATTTATTGGTAACTTAACTCGGTGAGAACAATGCTCATAGATTCGCCTTTCTTGCTTAGGACCATGCTTTCTTGCTTAGGACCATCCCAACCGCTCTCTCTCTCTCTCTTCTTTTTTCTTTTTCATTTTTAGGATTGGGGGTGGGTACCAATGTTGTTCAAGAATGAAAAGAAAATGTTTTTATTCTTTTTAGTATAATTTTAGACAAACTTTTGAAGAGCACAATAGGAACACTGATGCAAAATTTGGCATGCCAAGTCTTATTTTTGTTTAAGATATATAATGATTCAATTTAAATATGATGGAGACCGTTCATTGTACCAATTTATATGTCAAATATATGGACAAATAATTTTAACTCTTAGCTTAAGCTAATCTAACTATGTAAATCTGTTAAATATTTTACTGGTTATGTTATGAGGTATATCCATAATATATATTTACTAGAATTTTCTCGTGCTAATAATTGTTGTTACAACCCATCTCAATTGATCAAAAATCAAAAGTTGACTTGTCAAAGGCTAAGTTGAATTGGGACTTAAGTGAAGCAGATCATTTTATTTGGGCTTATTTTATTATGAAAAATATTTTGAGGGTTTAAGATGGATAAAATTTAAAATTTAGATTTGTTTTTCTAATTTTGGAAGTTAAGGATTTAATGCTTTATTATATGAAAGTTGGAGGACTTAAATGAAATTGTTGGTATGAGTGGAGTACAATTGGCAACTGTGTAAACCATTTACCTATTTTTTATTGAGCACACACAGAGGAAGCTAAAAACGGGTAGAGAGGAAGAAACCGAAAAAGAAAGAAAGAAAAGAAGAAGGAAAAGGAGAAAAATAAAGAGAAGAAGAAAAATTAGGTGCTTACTTCTTCTATGTACTATTTTCTTTAAGAGGTAAATGAATAATTTACGTTGAATTTCTGGGGTTTTAATTTGTGGTTTAAATTTTCAGATGTAGGAGAATAAGAGTACAAGTTTCTTGATTCTTTAATTTCCAATTTCATTAAGGTAGATTTTAATTGGGTTCTTGGGTATGCATAATTAGTAGAAATAAAGGTGTTAGTTGAGATGATTATTTGAAATAACGAGTTATGAGCTAGAATGTAAAATTAAACCGGTGCAAGTGTGATTTTATGTGTTTCCTAGAATGAAAGATGTAATAATTATTTTTATGCTTGGAAAGAAAGTAATTTCAATAATTAGATATTAGTAAAGGGATTAGTGGGTGGAATTAGTTCCAATTGTAAAGGAAATTGAAGAATTTATTCCAAGTATGGAGAACTCAAGTCCTAGTATTCCATATTTAATTATTAAGGGTACTTGGTATGATGATTGTTGAATTGGTTGTTTTATATCATATTTCAGGCTACAATGAAGATATTGGAAAAGCTTACAGATCATCCTAATCTATAGCTTATTTCATATAATAGATTTGATAACATGATTTTCAAAATAAAGTGGATTTTATAGTCAATTCTTTTTAAAGTTAAATTCAGTTGGCTAAATCATTTCTTTAGCATGTCATATTCGTATTATATATTTCAGCTTATCTAAAGTTTTTTTTTTTTTTTAAATCACCACAAAGTACCCAGGTAATTTTACTATAGTCTGTATTTGTGTGAATGTATTTTCATAGTGTATGATCCCATATAGTTATTTTAACAACTTTGCACTGGTGTGAATGTGTTTCCATTATGTATAATCAATTATGGTGATTTTACACACTCTGCACTATTTTGAATGCGTTTTCGTAGTGTATGACTAGATTACGACATTTGGTTAGCTCTGTGCGCGTATGACTAGAATTACAGAATTACAAAATCTCAGAATTTTAGAATTTAATAGTTTTGCCATGTATATCGATATATATCGATATATGAGTAAGGTTATTTCAGGTACCTTTTAGTGTTATACAACTCATCAGATATCACATTACAGAATTTATTCTATTCAATTTAAAAAATAAAGATTTCATCTTATAATGTTGTTTTTACTCAATTGTATGGATATCAGATTTATTATATCCGTTATATCTTATAGATATTCATTCAGAATAAAAAATAAAGAGTTTTATAATTTCATTATGCTTTAATTTTAAAAGAATTATTAGATTTCAGACTTTCTTACAGTTGTAATAATATAAGCGTTTTTAGAAAGTTTGCATAAAAGGAAAAAATATACTTATTTGTGAAATATCCACTCACTGAGTTACAAGTTCATATATTTTGTCACCATTTTCTTTTCAGATAGTAGTGAGTTGAGCAGCATTGAATCTACCGAGTTGAGCCACACATTGTCATTTATTGTATGTAATCATTTTGTCAGTTTATATAGTTTATATTTTTAAGACACATGCATCTTTTGTTAGGAAATGTATCGATTTCATGGACTCGCTGCATTTTTGGTATATACTGTACATTTGGTGTCTTTTGGTTTGTATGGGAGTGTAAATTTTATTTTCAGTGCACTTTATTTTGAAAAGTTTGTGTTTTGAGGGGCCGGTTTATCCTATTTTAAATTATATTTACAGATTTGAAAAAAATTGATTATTGTTCACGTAGTTTTAGATCATATTTAAGAGAAAACTTTGTCAAAATTCTTTTAAAAATTATCTTGGTGGTAGGTCCGACACTTAGCTTGTATCTACTATTGGTGCATGGCACGTGTCGAGTTCATTAGGGTGATTCGGGACGGATCTTGTCAATTGTACAGTTCTCCATCATTTACTCCATATTTGTAGGGAAATTAATTGTCCATAAATTATTATTGACTCTATTTTCTCGTCCATAATAAGTTCATGTTTTAAATTAAACTCTTGTTCTTTCCTTAATTACTGATTATTTTTATAAAATATAAATAGTTAAATACTGTAATCAGTAACCATGAATATGCTTTCTTGTCTTTCAATGTGACATAAAGAAACATGTTTCGTACGTAGTTGGACTCAACAATATCATAAACAAAATTTCAACTACTTTCTCTTATTGAAACTGTCAAGTAATTTCGTGTAGAACGACACCCTTGCTGGCTATGTGCAGAAACATGCCACCAAAAGGTTGCAGATTGTGCAATGGAGCATTCCGAGGGACCTTATGGAGAAAACCTTGCTGCGGGCTCATGGGGTCTGAGCGCAAAGGAAGCTGTAGATATGTGGATTGAGGAGAAGTTTTATAATGAGAAATCGAACACTTGTAATGGAGGGGAATGCTTGCATTACACACAGGTTGTTTGGGCTCACACAAAGCAAGTTCGCCGTGCCAGGGCTAAATGCCAAGATTGATGGACATTTGTTAAATGCGATTACGGCCCTCGTGGCAATTACATTGGTGAACGTCCTTATAAGGCTAATACAGTATGTTTGACCGTGCTTAAAAATAACTTTTTAGCCATTTTTCAACGACATATGTGACGATATATTACGGGCTTGTTCTTTTCTGGCCAGAGACTAATTTTGTAATAGAAGATGAAAAGAAAATCTTCAATCTTTCTACAAGCTTGCACAATCTATTTGCTTATCGCCTAGTTGGACGTTGGAATATTTATGTATGAATTTCATTTATTTCTTCTATATTTTTTTAGGTAAATCCTAATTTTATATTTACTGATTGAAGTCTTTCATCTTTGACATATATGCGTGAGTCCTACAACAGTGTTTTGACCTTGATAGAACAAGTTAAAACATGGAGTAAACTAAAATTAAGTTGACATGTTGCAGTTTAAGTATTTATGGTAATTTAAATATTTGATAATTTAAAAGTAAAACAAAGACAATTGAGAAAAATGCACTACAACAAAATTGTGATTTAGCAACAATATTTTCGTGACATACAAAAAGTTGTTGCAATAAATGATTTTACGCGACACATGTTTAAAGTTTGTCGCGAAAATTGTGATGAAAAAAATAAGTATCCAAAAATATAAGGCGACATAAAAAGTTGTCGTGAAATGTGACAAGTTGCGACAAATAAAAAAGAATATTGCCAAAAATATGAGGGAACCAAAATATTTTTGGTGGGAAAATTATAGCGACAAACTTTTATTTTTTGCAACAAGGTGCTTGTGATGTAATAGGGTCTACATTTTGCGACAAGAAATATTTGTAGTTAAAAATTCTATAATTGGAAGAAAAAATCGCTATAAGAAAATTTGTTTTCTGCAATGGACAAAAAAATTATTGTAGTAGGTTTTTTACAACACTTACCTGCATATTGTAGACTCTAATGTTGTCGTAGAGTAGAAGGTTACAACAACGTGCATTGTACGCTGCAAAAGCTTTCAAATATACGTTGTTTAAGTTTTCACGACGTTCCTCGTCCGTTGCTTTTATTATATTTTGCAAAACTCTGACAATAGTTGATTCTCCCAAAATCGAATTCGATTGAATGTTATCAATCAAAAAAGGCAATGTGACAAAATTTCAACGATTTGGCTTTTGATTATCCTAATTGTCTTACTAGTTTAGTTATTATTGCAAACCAAGTTAATTAAAATCATATAACAAAAAAATTATATCAATAACATGGGTTAGACTAGAAGAATCAAGTTCAATTTAAGATAGACTTTATACAGACCTCTACATAATTGTATAGATATATACTAGAAGTTATTTCAAGTACATCAAGATGAAATTAACCTATTACAAACTGCACTAAAAAAGTGTAACTAATAGTTTTAGGAATGAAATGTAACTCAAAAATATTTGGGGGTTGATTTAAACACATTCGAAAGTTGAAGAGGCCCAATTTTTGTAAAAATACAGAAATTTAAAACCAATATGTCTTTGGGAGTTTCGCGTCAATGTTAAAGATTAGAACTTTGGAGCAAAAACGTTAAACATATACACTACGATTTGAAGTATAGAACAAATCATAAAGTCGTGATAAATTGGGGATTGAATTGAAACATATGAAAAATATATTTTCTCAAACCGTTTCTCCCCCACTATATCACGTCAGTGCCTCCCCCATCTCTCTCTCTCAATGCCCATATCTCCCTTACCTCTCAACTCCTTTAAATGCTCTCATTTCTTGTCCATGTCAATCCCAAATCTACCATCTTTGATCAAGCCACCATCGCCGACCAACCTATAATCTCAAAATCTCTTAAATCTTATGAGCCCTAATTTTTTTAATTTGCTTCCTTAGATGCCATCCATCATATAAGTCAAGGTAACACCCATTGCCCATCAATCAACCGGCGCCGCCCAATCAACGCACAGGCCTAAGGTTTGCTTTGCAATTAAATTAATTTCTTAATTGATTATATTCTTGATCTACACAGATTTTTATGGCCCTTTTGGGTTTAGTTTTCATATAGCTTTTCATCAGATTTTTCAATTTATTGTTATTTATTTTGATGAATCATTATCCTTCAAGTTGTGTTCAGAATAAATTTTCTCTAATCTCTGATTCATTACAACTCTGTTTTTGCCATATTTTCTTGTTCAGTGTCTTTTTGTGGATAAATGTTTCATGTTGCCGTGTGTAGTTTTATTTAGAGAAGGCTAGCTCTTGTTGCTGCATCCATTTTTAGTTTTCAAAAAGAATTCACTCAATTAATTGGTGTTGATTCCACTTTTTAAATAAGCATTATTTGGTCATTTGTTTCCCTGCCATGATTAATATGAAAATAGCTGTTAAATTTGTCTTAGTTTTAGGATATTAATATTAGAATCTCACTTAAATTGCATTTATGGCTGTCATTCCTCTTGTTAAGGTTCTCATGGCCACTATAGATTTAGTTATAGTATCCTTATGTGAAATTGCTAGCAAGTATTAATTTTTGGCTCTTGTAATTGTTGCATTCTAAGAATATTTCAATCAATGTCTTTATATTGTTCTGGAAGTTTGATGTAAAAAAAAATTCAATACTTATAGCCCTATATGTAACCAAATCCTCCTTTCATCAGATTCTGTTGAGATGTTGTCATCGTAATATTAATCTAACAAATCAACTGGAACTCTGAAGTGTTCAAAATTGTAATTTTGTATTTTTGACATCTTCTGTATCATGGAAATGGAGTATGTTTTGCTGGAAGAAGCCTTGTTGCATATTAATCTAAAACCTAGGGGAGATAATGTGTATATTGTCGTGCATCTTAAGAAGTAAATAAGGCAGCAAATTGTTTAGCAAACCTACATGAAATACATTAGTGTCTTACATTTATTATTATTATTATTATTATTATTATTATTATTATTATTATTATTCTTCTTCTTCTCCTCCTCCTCCTTCTCACTTTACTATTCTGCCATGTTCTCTACTCATCTGTGACTTTTTTTGAGCGTATAATCCTTTTCTTTTATATTTATTTATTTTGGTACTTGGTTTGCATCTCAACATTTAAGGCAAATGAGTGCGAAGGATATGATCATGGATGTTACAAAGAGTAGAGTTGTCGTTGCAGTTAATGGTTCTAAGGGAACTTTAAGAACTACTTTGAAATGGGCTTTAACTCATGTGGTTCCACTAGAGGATTGTGTTAGGTTGCTCGTTGTCATTCCAACTCACACCACAAGTAAATCTTTTCTTTTTTGTCTTTCTCTGCTTTAGATCTCCCGGTAAACATTAGAGTGAATTGAGCAGAATAACAAAGAATGATCTTGTCAAATTAATTTAAATGGAAATAAGACTTGGTCAGTTATTAGTTTCAATAATATCAACAAGTCTTGTCCATTTATGTCAACAATTAACATTATTGACCTGAATGAAGATGTTTACTTTGCCTTGTAGAGTAGTCAAAGATTAATGATTGAATTTTATGAAAAGAGATGATTCTTATTATTCTTTCATTAAAACGCAATTTATCTCTTTTCAAATTTAGATGACTATTAATCTTGCTACATTTAAACTTTGCCATAAATTTGTAGTCACGAACAACTTGTGCCAATTGAATTACCTGAATTTTTTTGCATCATCTACGTCGTAAATATGGGATATTTGAAATATTTTACTTGAAGCTAATATTTTTTGAAGTGTTTTTTCTTCTCTGCATAGGCTTGCTTTAGTTTTAGTGCTATTTTTATTTGTCAATTCTTGTGTTCTTAGCATTTCTTTGCTTCAATGTAGTATCTGGTCGATAAAGCAGGACTGAGTGAAAACTTAGCAAGTTTGTCAAGAATAGTGGGTGTAATTGCCAAAGAATCTAAGCTATTCAGCTTCTCTAAGTATTTGTACCTCAATTGGTTCTTTTGCTTCAAATATACGCTCAGTGGGTTGAAAGCATATCTTCCAGTCAAGAATATTATTCGGGTATTTCGTGATTTTTTTTTTATTTCTTTTGGATTTCTAGTTCTGTTTTCTACTTTTTCAAGTTTGGTGTACCATCCTAAGTAGTTTGACCTTGAAATTATAGTATTATATGTTATTTGTATTTTTTTTGATTTTGGAGGTAACCAAGTTTATCAATAATCTCTTGGTCTATATTTATTTGGTTGACAATAATATGTTTTTTATTAATCTATTTTGACATCATTTATATTTTGATAATTGTACATTGAAACATTCTTTTCATAGAGTCGCAAGTTATTTTTAATGAAGTAAGTTACATTTTCAAATAAATGTGTACCATAGTGACAATTCCATTGCGACGAAAGAAATTGAAAATTATATGTTTAAAATAGAATCTCCGACATACATAAATAAAGATAGAATAAATTAGGCGACAATTTTACATTGTTGAAGCGACAAACGTTTGTGTTGCAGAATAAATTTAACTACAAGCACAACTTGACACATAAATAAATATCCGTTGTCACAAAATAATTTGCATAATAATTTTGTATGTTGTAGAATAACATATGCGACATATATAAATAAATTAGATAGTGAACGTTACACCTTTAAAATAATACTCACAACTTTTTTCTTGTAAAAAATATATTAGAAAAATTGTTGCACAAATTGTCTTATCGCCCTTTTTTTGCGATGAAATTATGGCTACAAATATCATGTTGCTATTTGGTATTTTTTGAGTCAGTGTTGCGATTTTGTTAATGCAATGAATGATCGAAAGTTGTTGCAGAATATATTACGTGACTCAACATTCGCAACAAACATATTTCTTGTTAAACTTTTATTGGAATATTCATTGCGACAAATTGACTTGTCACCCTTTTAATTTTTCGCGACGTATATACATTCCGATGACATTATGGCTACAAATATTGTGTTGCTATTTCATATTTTTTACGTCAAGCAAATAGTGTCACAATTTTGTTAATACGATGAATGTTAGAAAGTCATTGCAAAACATATTTCGTGACTCATATAGCGCGGCAATGCCCGCAACAACCACATTGTCATAGCTAAATTATTTTTGCAACAAAATCTCAATTTTTGCGACAATACTTTTTTTGTCGCGAAATTGGTTATTTTTTGTAGTGAATCTTATTGTCTATTTATAATTTATTGAGAACTTAACTCGGTACGAGCAATTGTCTTAGACTCGTGCCTTTCTTGTTGGACCAATCCAGTCAGCCATTTTCGACTTTCTATATTGACGGAGCAAGTCTCTCTGTTTCCTTTCATTTTTTTATTATTTTTATTAATTTAAGGGTCGGGGTGG